GATAGATGCAATTTAGAATAATCGAACACCATGTGCTAAAAATCCACGATCACTATTAGTAATGGATTCTTTTAAGGATCACTTAGTTTCTTCTGTTAAAAGTAATCTTTTTAGAAAAAATACTAATATCGTAGTCATCCCTGGAGAGCTAACATCGAAACTACAACCACTTGACGTATCGATTAACAAATCTTTCAAAGCAAAGGTTTTATTCTTATTTTTGTATACAGCATTATACTTATAATTTTATTTTTTTTTATTTTTTTCTAAAAAACCGTATTTAAGTGTCCTTTTATTTAATTTTATTTATATATACTTATTAATAGATCAGGTCTATGTATAACGAATGGATGGCGCAAGAAATAAGGGAATTAACACCAGCTAGTCAAATAAAACGTCCACCGTATAATGTTATTGCAGAATGGATTCAACGTGCATGGGATGCTATTGATACCCAACTTATCAAACGTTCTTTTAAATGTTGTGGTATCTCAGTTTCAAGTGACGGATTAGAAGAAAATTTAATTTTTAATTACGATCAAGTTGAAGGCTATGAAGTTGAAGGCTCCAAAGCTGATGAACTTATTTTTATTGATAGTGAAATAACCCAAATCCAACAAAATCAACAACATTTGCACCACCAAGGCACCCTGCTCCAACAACACCTACTCCAACAAGGCCCGCCCCAGCAACACCTACTTCAACAAGGCCCGCCCCAGCAACACTTTCTATTCCAACAAGACACTTCACCTCAACAATACTTTTCACCTCAACAAGGCTCTTCCCAACAATATCTCTCACCCCAACAATACTTTTCACTTCAACAAGGCTCTTCCCAACAATATTCCCCGCCCCAACAAAGTCTCACAGCCCAACAATGCTTTTTGTCTCAACCCTATTTCCCGAATCAACCAAATTCTTTAGATGTTCAGGAAGTGGAATTTGAATACTACTATACTCAGAATGAAGTAGAAAATTTTATGAACCAATGGGTTAAATAATCTTGCAATAATGCAGTTATGAATTCATAAAGATTTAAATAAACTCACAGGTATCTTACAAAATCCATATTAAATGAACTTGTAATATACCCGGTACAAATCAAGGGGGGTACCGATCAAGGGGGTACCTTGCACGGCAGTTTACGGTATGATATTACTATACCAAAACAACAACAACAACCAACTCATTTAAATATGTTTTAACAATATCCAAACAACAACTACAGAAAAAAACAACAATATAACAATAATCTCCTACAACAACAACCCCAATATTACTATTTTAAACAACTTACCTATATCAACAACAATAACAATATGGCTATGCTCTGATCTAAAATCGACAATATACTGTATTAACAAAACAACAAAATCAAGTAGATACAGAAACAACTAACCTTGAAAAAGTAAATAATATATACCACAACAACAAAATAAAAACTGATATAGCCTCAACAATATCTGCAA